TGTCTCCAGGAGGGTATTGTGTGTGTGTTAACCAATCATCACTCTAGGAGGCAAGGCTACCTAAAGAGCCAGGGCTGATTGGCTGGTGGTGGAGTCATTTTGTTTTGAAAGTGCACAGATTTGCCAACACCCACCCCCCCACCCTCCTCCCTCCACCCCTACCCCCTCAGGGAGGAGAGCTAGGGGAATGGCAAGGCAGAAAGAAAGAATTCCTGAGCCCCTTGCATTTAAAAATCAAAGTCTTTGCTGCTGTATTTCCAACACCTCACTCTCTAAGCAAAGAGGCTGTGTGTGTAGCAGGCAATCTCTGCATTTGACACCCCGTGTTAGAATCTCCTGGGGTGCTGTGTGTGTGTGTGTGTGTGTGTGTGTGCACACAGGTTTGAACTCAGGGGGGTTGGGCACTGTCCCTGAGCTTTTTTTTTTTAAATTTCATTCAAGGCCTGCTCTCTACCACTTGAGCCACAGCTCCCATTTCCAGAGCTTTCTGGGTGGTTCACCAGAGACAAAAGAGTCTCACAGACTTTTTTTCTGCCCCAGCTGGCTTTAGAACCGTGATCCTTGGATCTCAAACTCCTCCCGAGTCGCCGGGATGACAGGCATGAGCTACTGGTTGGTGCCTGGCTCTCTTGTGTTCTCAGAAGCAGAGAATTGTATTCCTAGTTGGCCGTGCTGATATTTAAGATCCTGTGATCTTGCCAGATCTGATGACAGAACAGGTGTGTGAAGAGCAGATTCCTTTTTGGTTTTTTTTTTCTCTCTTCCTGTCAAACTATCTCACTCTGACCTTCCTTGTTTAAAACCATTCACCAGCCTCCCATAAGGGCAAATTTTCCCCACCACCTCAGCCTCCTCATAGATAAAGGGGGAAAGGATGCACACCTCACAAGACTAGGGTAGAGGCGATCACGTGATACTCCAATTCATTTGTGAGCCCTTTGATGACGTTCCAGTCGGAATTTGCAATTAAGCCATCAGAAAGGAGTAAGTGAAATGAAATCATGGCTCCCCCTTCCTCCCCCGCCCCCAATTGGGGGAAAACCAGCTATAGAATGCAGCTCTGGTGTAATATTGCAAATTGTCTTGGCATTTGTCCATTGTATTCTTTTAATTTGTACAAGATCCAAAACATTCAGAGAGAGGGGGGAAAAAAAAACCCAACACCAAACCACAACAACCTGGGGAGGTCTGAATGAAGAGCAGAGTCCATTTTCTATGGTTAACCACCAAAACCCCACTGATTTTATTTTATTTTCTGGATCAGAGAAAGGGCGTTATTTGGCTCCGTGTCAGAAAAAGGCTAACAACCTAGAGCCAGCTGTGACTGTGTTGTACATGGCAGAGGGAACGTGTATGTGTGTGTGTGTGTGTGTGTGTGTGTGTGTGTGCGTGTGCGTGCATGCGTGCGTGCGTGTGTGTGTGTGTGTTTGCGCCAGCACCAGGATTTGAACTCAGGGCCTCATGTGCTTGCGTGGCTTTGTTATGTAGGACACTCAAAAGTGGATAATCTACCACATGAGCTACAGCTCCCATTTTTTCCTTCTTTTTAAAAAATTCTTTGCTGGTTCATTGCAGATCAGAGTCTCATGGACTTTCCTGCCCAGGCTGGCTTTGAACCACGATCCTCAGATCTCAGCCTCCTGAGTAGTTGGGATGACAGGCGTGAGCTACTGGTGCTGGATCCCAGCCCTTTTTCTAACCATTCACTCTGGCAGGAACTAACTGGGGACTCCCAAGAACCATGTCCATCTCTGGCGCGGACAGTACCCCAATGCCGCCGCCCCTCCCCCCCCTAGTCTTTTATAGGTTCCACACCTTCTCCACATTGCTCCACTGGCTTCTGGTGCATGCGCTCTGGGGACGCACTCAAAGCACCTTGGTAGCAAAGCATGGCTCTGGTCAGGGGAATGGGCAGCTCACTCTTCTCTGTGCTGTCTTCCTGGTAGCCCTGTGTGTGTAGGGAGGTAGGGTAGGGGGTAGGGTCATGCATTTGTTTATCCCTTGAGACCAAGGCTCCAGGCGCTGGAGTGAGTTGCCTAAGGATGGATGGATGGATGGAGATAGAGGCCTGGAAGTCCGTGGACTCAGCACCAGTACTTTCTCCTCTGAGGCAGACTGACGTTCATGTCACAAAGCCTCCATTCAACTGTCCAACCACCCATCTGTTCATTCGTCCATCTCTCCATCATCCATCCATCTCCCCATCCACATATCCGTCTGTCTACCCCCTCCATCCTCTCATCCATCCTCCATCCACCCACCTATTGATCCATTCAGCCATCATCCATTCATCTATCCATCCATTCGTCCATCCATCATCCATCCACCTACCCACCTCTCCATCCATCCATCCATCCATTCCACCCACCTATTAATCCATGCATCTATCCATCATCCATCCATCCATCCATCCATTCATCCATCGTCCATTCATCCATCCATCCATCCTTCTACCCATCCACCCATCCATCCATCTATCCACCCACCTATTGATCCATTCAGCCATCATCCATTCATCTATCCATCCATCCATCCATCCATCATCCATCCATCCATTCATCCATCCATCCATCCATCCAGAGATCCACCCACCTATTAATCCATCCATCCATCCACCCATCCATCATCCATTCTTCCATTCATCCATCCATCCACCTATTCATCCATCTATCCACCATCCATCCATCCATCCACCATCCATCCATCCATCCATCCACCATCCATTCATCCATCCATCCATCTTTCTACCCATCCACCATCCAACCATCCATCCACCCATGCATACATGCATTCACCCACCCATATATCCATGTACCCACCCACAGATCCACCCATGCATCACCCACCTGGCCACCCAGCCACCCAGCCACCCACTGACCTATTTATCCATCTACCCTCTCATCCATTACCCATCACCCATTTATTTACCCATCCACTCATCCATCCACCCATCCATCCAACCTCTGTCCATCCATCCTCTGTCCATCCACCCATCATCCAGTATCCACTTACCCACCTACTCATTCATCCACGAATCCATCCAACTCCCCATCCATCCATCCAGCCAATCAGCCATCTAC